AACGCTATAATGCGCGTACGCTCCCAGCTGCTTCAACCGTCGCGTCCGTGCTCCAGCCTACTCACTGGCATAGCGATGAATCCTCCGGTTCCATCACCGGCAGTATCCCTCATTGACGTCCTCGTTGTAGGTGCTGGACCAGCGGGTCTTACCACCGCGCTCGGTCTTACAAGGGCGGGAATCAAAGTTAGAATTGTCGATATCAGGTGGGTGCACGCTATCCGACGCATTTTCACCTATGCCGAATGCATAGTACTTATTGTTATATCAGAGCACAGAGAGTTTTGGCAGGCCATGCGGATGGAGTCTTGCCTCGAACCATCGAGATTCTCGACGTACGTCTTTGCTATATCATTTGAACAGTAGAAATGACAGATAAACTCGCAGAGCTATGGTATTAGTAATGAACTTCTCAGAAAAGGTCACTATGTGAACGCATTCGTGAGTATCTGACGGCAGAGTTGCATAGTGGTATCGTGGTGATTGTTGTCGCACCCACAGAGCAACTACAACCATGACCCTCCCACTGGTGGTATCAAGGTGGGCATCGTCTCCTTTTATTACCTGCGAGTGAGTGGTAAGCTATAATAATGATATTTGTCAGTATGCTGGCAAATTTCCGGCGATAACTGAGCCTACCGCACGGTATAAGCACGCTGTAACTCATCATCAGGGATTCATAGAAGGTTTGTTTCTGTCCGGTCTGAAGGATGCCGGCGTACTGGTCGAGCGGCCGTGCGAACCTGTGAGCTTGGAACTGTCCTCCAATGAGGATGAGCTGAAAGATCCCACATCATACCCCGTCAAAGTATGCTCCAATTTGTCCTCAATCACACCTGCATGACGAGCCATCATCCGACAGATTACACTGGAGCATCACTCAGCCGCTCCGGGAATGCATTCTTCCGAAACGGTCTGCGCCAGATTCCTTGTTGGCGCAGATGGGGCGCACTCCTGGGTCCGTCGTACGCTTGGTATTCCAATGGAGGGCGACAGCACCGGTTGGTCGGTTCCGCTCATCGAGCTGCATTATAATTAACTCAATCTCTCATATATGATACTTAGACCGAGTTTGGGGAGCGATTGACTTCACACCCTTGCTGTCAAGCAACTTCCCTGACTGGCGGAACGTTGCGACGGTCAACGCTGCTGACGGTGGCCTCATGATTATTCCTCGCGAGGACAACAAAGTCCGATTGTACATCGAGCTCAGCAATGTCAATGAGTTCGAACACGACGAACGCGGACGACTAGATACCAGCACGATCACTGCAGATAAGCTACTCGACATCGCGAGGCATGTGCTTAAGCCGTACACCCTTGAAACTACACTGGACAAGGTTGAGTGGTGGACTGTCTATGTCGGTGCGTCCGTTTTGGCTCCAGAAGCCTGGATGTGTGCTCAACTTATGGCTGTTTTGCGTAATCATACCAGTTGGCCAAAGAGTTGCAGCCAGATTCTGCGATCAGGGGAGAGCATTCATTACAGGTGACGCCTGTCATACCCATTCGCCAAAGGGTGGACAGGGCATGAACGCTAGCGTTAATGATGGACACAACCTCGGTAAGTTCAGCTGATAGATCGTGTTTCCAAATGACTGAAACTGTCTTACCTTCGTTCAGCGTGGAAGCTCGCTTATGTTGTCAAAGGCTGGAGTCCGATGGCGCTGCTTGACACCGTACGCGCCTTATAGATTTCTCTCTGATTATAAACACCTTGACATATATGCCTCAGTACGAAGCAGAACGACGCACATTTGCTCAAGAGCTCATCGCCTTCGACAAATGGTTTGCCGAAGGCTTCAGCGCCAAAGCGCGCGCCAAGCTGGTAGAGGATGGTTCCGACGTCGTGCTGCCCGGTCCGCTCGAGTACGTCTGCTGTTCTGCCGCTCCCCTCACAGGAACTCATAATCTCCAGGGCATTTGGCACGTTCAGCGGGCTCACCACTGGCCTCGGCATCCAGTATGCACCCTCAATCATCACGTCGCAGGTCTCTCATGCGGCGAACGGCGTCAAAACTGAGATCTCGCCCTTCACATTGACAGTCGGCAAACGCGTCCCGCCCTACGCCTTCGTCCGCGTTGCGGATTGCCGCCCAATTAACCTCCAGGACGCGTTACCATCCGACGGCCTCACCAAGCTCATCGTCTTCGCCGGGCCGCTCACCAGCCTGGAGGAGAAGAACAGACTGGTGGAGGTCGAGAGGGCACTGCGGAACATCCTTGACGCGTTCGGCGCGGACAGATTCCTGCTCCTCGTCATACTCTCTGTCATAAGCGACGATATGAACTACATGGACGTTCCGGTGGGGTTGCGAAAGGATTGGACCAGGTGTGTCTTCCGCTGTTCCTTTTGTTCTGCGGCCCCCTGACATTGCGATCCGAGTGTCTTGGTGGACGCCGTTTCAGCATTCTCGAAAGACTCTGGAGGGGCATACACTGCATTTGGTGTACCGGCCGCTGGACAGCTTGTGGTTGTCCGTCCAGACGGGTATATTGGTACAATTGTCGAACTGAGTGAGATGCAGAGGCTAGGCGAGTACCTGAGAGGATGGATGCTTTAAGTATTTGGCTCGATGTAACTACTATTGTACTGCGGTTCTTGAGAAGATCCGAATCCGCTGCGATAGATAGTGTCGTTAGACCGAGACTTCTTACATGACACCACCAAAGACTCAGATGCTTAGGCCTGGAATTGAGATTGTCCGACCAGGTAGTGGTTGAGGGTCCGGTCCAGTCCGGTCTTTTTTAAAAATTGGGTGGGACCAGGACTCAGACTGGTCAAGGACCAGCATCTGTTTGTGCAGGACCGGACCAAGACTGAGTCCTGGTCCTGTACAGTCCTCCATGCAGTCCTGGACCAGTCATAACCAGTCTAGGACCAAATGTGGTCTTAGACCGATTCAGACCAGCTCAGACCAGTCCTGCCCTGATAAATATGGCACAAATAAACAAATTTTGATTTTGAACTGCATGTACAGGTAGACTAGCAGTATACTAAGCTAATTTCTGAACAAATCAGTTTTGAGACCACACTACTCAGCCTAATGAGTCAAAGAGGAGACAGTGTGTGAGTCTCAAGAAGGCCAGAAGAGTGTACCAGATGCCTATCTCAGAAGTGCTATATACCATTCATGCATTGCCAGA